AAGAAGTATGTCTACTCTAGGCTACCATGCCACAAGGAAGCCCAAGCCATATGGAAAGACCATGGAAGATGAAGCACCTTGGAGTTGGATGGAGAGACAGAATCAGAGAAAACAAAGGTGCCAGACATAGACATAAGAGAAAAAGCTATCTTGGGAGAGGATCCATCAGTCCCAGACACCCCAGCTAATGTCATGTGGATCAGGGATGAGCCATCCGTCTGATGATCCCTTTCCAAATTTCTAATCCACAAGACCCTGAACAAGATAAAATGGTTGTCTGAAGACACTAAGTTTAGGAGCAGTTTGCTGCACAGCAATAGATGATCAAAATAAGAATCGAGAGTTGCATTTTACACATGCTAATTTTGAGATGCCTGTAAATACTCAGGTGTCAATGTATTTCAGCCTTTAGATATTGGACAAACATTTTTCTGAAGGCTAAATGAGATAATGTATGCAGAAAGCCTAGTTAAGAGCCTCTTTATTATAAATCACTCAACAAATTTTAAATGGTTTTCAATTTTTAAAGTCACCTAATAGCTAAAGGAGAGAGGAGATTAACTATGTTGCTAATCAGGATGCTATATGCATTTTATAATAATTAAATCATGCAAAGAGGTAGAGGGAAAAAGAAGAAATGAAATAAAGGATGTATATATTAATGTCCTCTTTTATAGTGGATAGTGAGTTAATGTGATAATTCATAAAATTAAAGTTCATGTATATTAAGTCTTTAAAGTTAATCTCTAGAATAACCTGCAACAGTATTTCTAAAATAGGGAAGAAAAAGAGAACAAAATTGGTGGCCTATTGAAAGCATGATAATTCATTCTTTATATGGCAGAGAATCAATGTGTTCGTGTAGTTTTCTATTGCTCCCAAAATAGATGATCGCATAGGAATGAGTGTGTGTCTAATAGGAAACAATATGTATTGCATAATCCATTTACAGAGAGCATATTAAATATACACAGTTGACCCTTGAACAAACAGCTTTGAAGTGTACACGTCCACTTACATGGGGGTCTTTTACAGAACAGGACTCTAAGTGTGTTTTCCTTTTCTTATGATTTTCTTAATAACTTTCTTTTCTCTAGCTTACTTCAATGTAGGACTGTACTACATAATACATATAACACATGCAAAGTATTAATTGACTAAGTAAGGTTTCCTGTCAACAGTAGACTATTGGCAGTTACACTTGTGGGGAATCAAAAGTTACCCTTGGATTTTCAACTGCAGAGGGGTGGTCAGTGCCCCTAGCTCCCGCATTGTTCAGGGTCAAATGTATTTTTCATGGGCTAGAAATAAATTTTGAAAAGAAATGCAATAAATGAGTGGGTTATAGGGGAAAGAGCAATAGGGAGCTTCCCACTTTGACTTTCCTAATTTTGAAATTTCAAAGGAATTCTTACAAAATGAAACAAATATACAATTGCAGTTATTACTGAACACATTTCCAAAACATATAGCAACTGTCACCCAAAGAGTAAATAAAAATGCCCACTTTCTACTTAAAATCATGGAGTTTTATTTAGTTATAAATGTATCTTTAAACTAACCAACTCTGGGGGCACCTGGGTGGCTTAGTCGGTTGAGCGTCAGACTTCGGCTCAGGTCATGATCTCACAGCTCGTGAGTTCGAGCCCCACATCAAGCTCTGTGCTCACAGCTCGGATCCTGGAGCCTGCTTTGGATTCTGCGTTTCCCTCTCTCTCTGCCCCTCCCCTACTTGTGATCTGTCTCCCTCTCTCTCAAAAATAAATAAACATCAAAAAGATTATTAAAAAATTAAACTAACCAACTCTGTGATAACTAAAGGCTTCTATTCTTCTGCCTTATAATAATGATTTCTGATTCCAGTTTATCCAAAGTTATTTTAAGCCATCATGATAGAAATCACCTCCGTTAAAAAATTAAAAGAGCATAATATGCTATATTTGACCTTTCTGAACAGACTGGGTATCTCAACTCTGTCAGAACTAGAAATTCGGACAAGTGGAGATAGTGGATTCATTTTCTCCTTTCCTTCTTAGTTTAACTCAAAAACTTCCCTTTTGACCACCATTGTCACCCTCAGCCATGAGCAATACATCATAAATCATATATAAAAAGAGAGAAAGCTTTCCCCAGGCTGCAGTACTGTACCAAGGCAAGTCTATGCTAGCATAATGAAACAGAGAACTATTTTCATTATTCAAATCTCGTGGGTCCCCAAGTATATTTCCCACTAAAATATTTAGATAACTGAGTCAAAATCGACATGTATTATTGTTTAAAGTGCCTGAAATGGCATACATTGTCTGCTTCCTGTCCTGTCTCACCTCACATCTTAGCTCATGTATAAAAATTAACCTCCTTTCAGTACTCATGTAGTCTCATGCAAAACTTGTACCTTGTGCCATCGCTCATCTTTTATTTCCATTGTAAATACTATTCCTGATTATTTGGTTTATGTTTTCTAACCAGAAGGGACTAGAAACAAACAGACAAATAGATGAATCTGCAGTCTTTACTGGCGAAATGCCCTGAGGGAAGAATCACTCAACAGTCCTTTAGTGGCACCTTCAGAATTGTTTTTCAAAGAACTAAGTCTTTGAGAATTCTGTCACTAGCTCAAAGTCTAAATATATTTTATGAGGAAAAATAGAGTTAGGCAAAGGAAGGCTAAGGCATTTTATTGCACTGAAAAAAAAAAAGTTTAGTTTCAGAAAACACCACACCGTCAATGTTTTATTAAAATTCCATCAAACTCACATTGTCTTTCTCGGCTTCGCCTCCCTTATCTTTGCAGCATATGCCTTGTAACCTACCATGTGTCAGATGAACTCCATCTGTCAGCGTCCTACGGGAAGTTTGAGACATTCTAATTCATCACCAGCAAGAAACCATGAAGCATTTAGTGCATCCTTCCTCTGGGGACTTGACAAGGGGGTAGAGAGACTGACCAGAAAGGTCATTTCCATTTCTTGCTTTTATGGTAAAACATTGAATGTTGGTTGTGTTTGCTTTCTTGCGAGTGTTAGGCAGTTTAACAGGCAGCCATTTTGGTATAAAAAGGGTAATAACTGGCCACTCAATATAGAGAGTAAAATATGAAAGCTGCATGAGTCTCTGATAATAGATACCATCCATTTCAAGTTTATGGGACCCTGACAGAGGTTCCATGACTTGCACAATCATGTTAAACTGTTGCTCAAGTTAGGGAGACTAAACACTAGGAAGGAAAAATAACCAGAAAGAGAGTCTGAATTGCTTTCATAATTCTTGCCACTTCAAAACAAACCACGGGAACAATCCCCATGAATTTACTAGCTTCAGGGTTCTGATGGGAGCCGTAAATGGAGATTCTGACAAGGAAGAAGAATCACACGTAGAATCACACAGCAATTACAGGCATTACTAACTTGAAATAGAAAAATTGAGCCCAGCTGCTGGGCGCTGACCACTGGTGACGAATCTGGGTTTCTGTTGTGTACAGCAATTCTTGGCAACTCTCATCGACATCTAATGCATGTTTCTATGGCCAGTAATTAGAAACCAACACGTTCCAAGCAATTGCACTGAGGCTGGGGTCAAAAGACCATGTTAGGACAGCTGAGCTAGCTCGGCTGCCTTTCCCGAGGACAATTGCCTTTCATAATTAAGCTTTGAACAGTATAATTCGAAAAGGAACTGTCCCACTTCCTAAGGCTCGTTCTGCTACAGTCAAAATTTCTTTTAATGGGATTTTCTTGGAACAGAGACAGAATACTAGCAATATGACCAGGAAGCCATATTGGAAAGATTGGAAAATCTATTTTCACTGTTTTTTTTTTTGTTTTTTTTTTTATGTATGTTCCTCCCTCTCTATCCTACCATTTATTGCCAATCTTTACCTTGTAGGTTAAATTTATGAGAAGCACTCCTCACCATCACTTACTATCACCAAGCAGATGCATCTTTTCTATTACCTACTGTGTGAATTTAATTAACAACTACACTTACTTTGTATCTACCATGTACCACACACTAGTCATATGCTGAGAAGAGCCTGGTCCTTACAGGTAGTTCCAGAGTCCAGCTCCACCACAGTCCAACTCCACCCAGGGGTTCCCGAAGAAGGACGGCGTGGGTGAAAATAAAAGAAAACTAAAATAAAAAACTAGAAAATAAAAAACTAAAATAAAAATGGACACAGACAACCGCTGTGAGTTGATCTGGCCGATTTATTGTAGCAAACGTGGCATTATATTTGCTAGTGATTTCCTTGTAGCATACGTCATCCGTGTTTTTCTAACATTACCTAATTTTAAAAATGTTCCTATGTGTAATCAACCTTTAAGAAATAACATGGCGATTTTCTCATAATGTTCCTGCATACTCTTTGATTATTGATTAATTTCTTACATTATTCCATTATGCATCTGCGTTTATCTATAATTATCTATAGTCTATAAAGCATTTGCTTTGCTGTTCGCATGAAAGGCCCTCCATTTCTCAACACCTCAAGTGGAACAGTTACTGGGACATGACCTCCTAACCACATGAGGCCAGAAGAACAATGTGTCTGCCTCGGTCCGAGGTGCCAGGAAGGGGCCGAAAAAGCCTTAGAAACCCATGCCTCACACATTCTCAGAGAGACAGTGCACCTAGGAATTAATGAAACATTCTGTACCTTAACCGACTAGGTTCAGTCATCATCTGAAATGCCTCCGGGGGGCCAGGTGGGCCTAGGGGTTGAAGTCACCTGTGCCCAGAGATACACTCCTTAGTTGCCAGAGTAGGGCTTTCAAATCCATATGTCTCTCCTTTGTTGGCCACTTCTGCTGGCAAATGCATGAGGTTATCCTTCCTGTAAGCAGAGGAGTCTCCATAAGACAGGCAAGGGCTAAATGTAAGGCCACTCAATTTCTCGCGGAACCTTATTTTCTTCCTTAATGGTTCTTTTCCCAGGGGGCCTGCTGAGGTCAATTCCCCAACAGACAATACCCCAGGTACTTTTATTCAGGCCAAATTACCTAAAAGCGGGAGTACAAGAAGCTTCACTGTCGGCGGGCCACCTTGCAGTCACCAATCCGTCCACAGCCTGGGCCTTGCCATCAGGCTGGGAGAGCTTGGCTTCCAGCACGGTAGGATAGAGAGCTCACAGTGGGACACGCAGAGAAGTCAGCATAAAATTATAACATATAAGCACATGCGACGTGGTTCACACAAGCTTGAGGGCACGGGCACATTTTGAACGTCAGAAAGGGTTTCCTGGGAAGAGAACATTCAACTCTGAGACAAGGAGTAATGAGTTAGAATCGTCTGGGTGAAGCAAGTGTGGATCCTTTCTCAGGCATTTTGAACAGTATGTATAAGACACTGAAGGTGAGTGAGAATTGCCATATTCCAGGACTCACTCTGTTAGGACTTTTTCTCAAATATCTCTCTTGCAATTAGCACTTCTTCTGTTTCATCCATTTGTCCCTCCTTTGGAACCGTTTAATCCATCACACATACCTTATATTAACTCACAAAGAGAAAAATGAGAGAGAGAGAGAGAGAGAGAGAGAGAGAGAGAGAGAGAGAGAAACCTTCTGACTTCCACACTAAGGCATTTGATGTTTTATCTTGAGTCTGGACAACCAGTGAAGGGTATTAAGCAACTAAATATCATGAATTTGACCCCTTGAAATTTGACCCCTGGCTGCTGTGTGCAGCATCGCTTAGAGAGGTGAGATGGAGAGCAAGAGGACTTATTAGAGGCTTAACCGTGGCCTTACCTAGGCAATGGCAGTGGGGACAGATACTAAGCAGAGAGCAACGAGAAACATAACAGGACGTGGGGCTCGGTCAGATGATTGGGTCAGCCTGTTGCGCTGAAATGTTAAACGTGGACATCTGATAAACTTTCAAGTATAGTTGTTAGACATGGGTATCTGGGGAAAATTTGGTTGAATACTTTATTTGGCCTGTGAGGTCCAAACTTTAAATATTGACAGTTTGCACACAGACACATACACACATACACCCTTGAAGGTACTAGAAACAAAAGTGGGGAGAAAGCTATATGAATAGTATCTATTAAAAATGCTATTATAGGGGCACCTGCGTGGCTCAGTCAGTTAAGCACTGACTCGATTTTGGCTTAGGTCGTGATCTCACAGGGTTCATGAATTCAAGCCCACATCGGGCTCCATGCTAACAGTATGGAGCCTGGTTGGGATTATCTCTCTCCCACTCTCTGCCCCTCCCCTGCTAGTGTGCTCTCTTTCTTTGTCTCTCAAAATAAATTAAAAAAAAAAAAAAGAGTGCTACCATATACACCAAATTATATGTTTTAAGTTAATTCTTCTCAGTTCTTATGCTGACTTGTCGCTATTTTATACCCCTGGCTTCCCTAGAAAACAATTTCCATGAGCGTACAATAAAAAGATTTGACTACACCTTCCAGCTCTAAAATTCTAAGTGTCTGATTCTCAGACCAAATTTTCAATCCAGAGAGAAAATCCTATTATTAATTTAAATAATGTTCCAGCACTCCAAACTGAGTTGCCTGTCAAACCCCATGATTTAAAATTCCAGGCAAAATTGGGCCCCTGTTCTTAGAAAAGAGTCGGGGCTCCCTTCATGGGTCTTTTTGGATTCTCCAAAAGTAGTCCCTAAAATAAGGTTTTGAGAGCATGTCAGTTATTTGGAAGGTAAAGAAAACACTAAAAAGGAAACAAGCAAAATCAGACAAAGAAGGAGAAAGCCAATAAAGTAGATGGTTTAAAGCCAGCTCCTACTGTGGTTCACCAGAGCTTAATCCCACTGAGGAAACATGGGAGACAGGGCCATCCCATCTGGAGAGTGAGAGAGCCAGGATAGTCACACACTATCTCCTGTTCATCATTGCTTAAGGGCTATGCCTATAACACATCCAGCTAGATGCGTGCATGCCAAAGGGTTCTTCCACAGCCACAGAAAGTCTTCAGACAAAAAGAAGTAGGTGCTGGAAGTCCGGAAGTAGCCAAGTCACAGAGTGTGGGGCTAAAGTAAAGCCAGTTGTTATCTGCTCTACTGAATTAGTAGGGAAAGTCTAAAGTAAAATCTTCGTGAGGCCAGAACCCTAAGAACCCCATGTCCTTAGGAAACCGCAGGGTAGTTCCTGTCAATTGGAGACTCTAAGATTGGCTAAAATGTTCCTTAGCCTTTCACAGGACAATACATAGTCCTGTGACTTACATATACTTCTTGGTATTTACCTTTACCTTTTCACAAGTGAGAATGGAGAGATCTGAATGGTAATTAAGATTTAAAAAAAAAAAAAAAGAATATTATGACCAATATCTAGAAGGCAAAATAAGACTTGTTTGGATGATGCACACATTTTTCAGATATTTCATCAGCACTATACATTTCGTTTGTTGGTAATTTGTTGATGGAATCATATTGTGATATAAATACATCTGTTTCAAATTTACCTAACCTATAAGCCTAGTTTGGGGATAGAAACCTGGCAGACTAATTAGGAATGTCACTTTTACTTCTCCAACTTGTGAAGTTAATTTAGTCATTAAGAGAGAAAAAAAAAGAGTTTTTGCTAGTCTGAAATGAAAAAAAATGTAACAAGTTCAAAGTCTTTAGTAATTTTGCTGTCACTAGTATAAACAGTTTTCTTCTATATTTAGGATAAAGTAAATATTTTCGAATAATTTTCTCAAATCTCTTAGAGTTCTCAGGATAAATTATATTTGGTCCTTTTTCAAAAACAGGAAATAAATGATGGACCCTCTCTTGTTTGATTTTGAATATCACTGGTTTTTTTTCCTTTATTTTTTAAACATAGTTACATAACAAAGTCATGTCTCTAACAATTTTTTTAAGTAGACGTGGAAGAGAAAGATTCTCATTTTTTACTATGTCCTGAGTACCTAGCCTGGTGCCTTATGAATGGAGTTCAAAAAGGTTTCTTAAAATAGTGCTAATACTTTCAACTTTTTTCTCAGTTTGGACTCTCAGAGGTTTATGTCTGGACAGTCTCTGGTACAAAGAGATGACTGATGGCAGTGTCTCATCTCTGGGAGCCCAGTAATCATTTATTTGTACATGTATAACTGAGGAAGGGGAAATTTGTTATGCAATTCTCCTATAAAACAGGGGCTGGCAATCTAATACATCTGTTCAGTATATGAAATAATGGTAATTGATGACCATGGCTTGACCTATTGATGACCAATGTTCCTGTAACATTGTTTTAAAAACCCTTGGTTTTGTAACTATAGTGAATTAAATGACGTTACCACCCCCGCTGCCAAAAAATATATATGTCCACCCAAAACCTATGGATGTGACCTTATTGTGGAAAAGGGTCTTTGTAGGTACAATTAGATTAAATTAAAAATCTCCAGATAAGATCATTTCAGAATATCTGAGTAGGTCCTTATTACAATAGCCAGTGTCCTAGTAAGAGAAGAGAGAAGAGAAACACACAGAGAAAAAGTCCCTGTGAAGACAGAAGCAGAGTTATGCAGCCACAAACCAAAGAACATTGGAACTACCAGACCTAAGAGGGACAAGGAAAAATTCACCCCAGAGCCTTTGGAGGAAATGTGAGCCTTCCGATACCTTGATTTCAGACTTCTGGTCTCTGGAACTCTGAGAGAATGAGTTCCTGCTGTGTTAAGCCACCAAGTTTGTGGTCATTTGTTAGGGCAGCCACAGGAAACTAATACAGGCATTATCTTTTCTATACAAGCTATTTGCATTCTCACCAGTGACCTTTTGACAGGATTTTCCATTTTCATAGCCCTGGAAAGCTATGGAAGGTTGTTACTGTGATGCTGGCTTTGACCTTTTCGATCTGAGAAAATATGGCAACAGGAGCAGTGCTCCCTGTATCTGTTTTCCTTGAATTCTCAGCATAGAGTATTTCACTCCCTTGCCCACCTTCAGCAAAGAATGCCCATTTGGCTGGGTCTACTGATAGGAAAAGGAACAGAAGGGAGGTACCAGGATACAGTCCCCTGTGTTCTTTTTCACTGCTCCAGTAACCAGGCGCCTTGGCCAGCTTGGGCTACTATAACAGAATACCACAGACAGGGTGTTTCAAACAAACAAACATTTCTCATGGTTTTAGAAGCTGGAAAGTCCAAGATGAGAGGGCCAGCATGATCGTATTCTTGGCAAGGATGTTCTTCCTGGCGTGATGACAGTCACCTTCTTGCTGTGTTCTCAAATGGCAGAGAAAGGCAGCTCTGGTCTCCCCTCCTCTTCTTACAGGGGCACTAATCCCATCGGGGGGTCTGTCCCTCATGACCTCATCTAAACCTAACCACCTCCCGAAGCCCCTATTTCCAAATCCACACTGGGGTTTTAGGGCTTCCACATTTGAAATTCGGGGTGTGGCGGGGGGGGGGACACAAACATTCAGTCTCTAACATCAAAGCAAGCAAATACTGGAATGAAGGTGCCACTGTACCAAAGCAGTAGATTACAGCTCTAGATCAACTCTCTTGGCCAGTAATGAACTTGATATGAGCAAGGAATAAATGTATTTATTATATACTGTGTTTATACAGATCATTGTGAGGTTTGCTACCACAGTATATGTTAGGTCACCCTGACTAAGTGAATATATGAAGCTAAAATGAAGAGAGTGTTTTGTTTTGTTTTGTTCTGCTTATAATCCAAGAGGTGGTGCCATCTGATGAATTTCTAGGGTTACAACTGTGTTGATCTACAGATGGAATTTCCCCGAGGTGTAAAGTGAGTGATCGTGCCACAAGAATGGGCCCATTATACACATAAATTCCCTTAAAACTCACATATTACTAACCAATATATCATGCATAACATATAAAAACATAAAATATGGAAAAGTTTAAACAAAAGTGAATAATCAGTTGCTACCAAGGACCTGAAAATTTAATATTTCTTAAATGTTTTTATTATTATTTGGTTCAATACTCGGTTAACATATTATGCTTTCGAGAAAACATAACAAAAAACCTTACTATTTCCACATTCTAATTCCTGGATCCTATGAGGATGTTACTTTATGCAGCAAAAGGGAAATTGCAGATGCGAGTAAGCAA